AAACTGTTTAAAATCTGGGTTAGGGCTAAAAAAACCTGTAAGTCAGTTTATAAACTACCATGAAAGCGCATTTCACCTCACTTTCTCAATCCCAAACAAAAGCATAGAGGAAAATATTTCTGTATCCTCCCATTCTCCTCCAATATGTGAAGTCCAAGGGAAAACACAGTCAATCATCTGAAATTTTGCTTGCCCTCTGGATTTTTGTTTGTAATCATAAAAAATTATACTCCCGCCATCATAACAAATAAGTAAAATGGGGTATCCCCGCTGGTAAATTTTCAGAGTAGCTACATGGCTGAGCAGCAGTTACTTATTTAAAAGACAAATTAAAGAAGGAACGATCATGTTTTATTTTATTTAAACTATCTACAAACTCAGCTTTATGACTCAATGTTTCTGATCTTAAAACATACAGAAACAAAAGCAGAGTAGTGCAAGAAAGGGGTAGCCTAAGGTTAATTCAGCCCTGAAATGCGGAACAGATTCAGTGCTCAAGAAAATACTGAACATTCTGTGGCTTTAAGTGAAATGCTTCAGAAGAGGAAATATATGTGTAAATAATCAAAAGCATTAATAACTGTCTCAGAATGCTGGCACTGAAACTTAAAGTCTCTCTCTCTTTACCTCTTAGTTATTTACTATTAGGATTTTTTACAAATGTCTATTGAAGTAGTTCCAAGTATGATGAAGGCATAGATGAAATTCTTTCGAGCACAGTAATTTGTTTAAAAAACCAGATTAATGAGAAATAAAGGAGATGATTTTTAATCAACTGAGGGGCAATTATGGATGACAAATATAGAAACATAGTGACTTAAAAATAGTTCTTGCTGCCATAAGGGCACTAAATATCCAGCACCAGGGTTCAAGATTAATAAAGGGGTGGGCTTAAATGTTCAGTCCAAAGCTCAGGCTTTTCCTGAAGAAAAAACAAAGATACAGCAGCTACTCAGCTGTTGTCAAAAGACATCTATTTTCAGTTTGAGAGATACACAATTGTATGAATGGCCATAATATTTTTTTCTTAGTGGAAGAGAAAAGGAAATAGTTACCTGCCTTGATCTTCAGAAAGTCTTAGAAACTGAGAATCAGAGTACAGCAGAAGATAAATGTAACCACGGCTTAAGCTCGAATCCTTGTCCACTAATCCAGTGGAAGGTTCCAGTCACTTCAGGGTAAGGTTTAGGACATTCCCCATTGGTGTTTTTTTGGCTTGTATTGTAAAATTAAATAAACAGAAAGTGATTCAGATACTTCCCTAACAGTGAAAGGGACCAATTTCCCTTTTTCCTTTAGCTTTAAATAGACTGACAAATACAACAAATCCTTACACCGGCAGGCATCCAGTTATTCTCCCAGTAGTAACAGGGACTCCTGATGCACATCACAAAATCAGATAATTCATTTTATGTCACTGAATGTAAAGAAGACAAAACAATAGATTTTACCAACAGTGTTTTAACTATATATGGCTTTTAGTCTTGGGAGGACTTTTCTGTGTGTATACCGCTACATAAGATGAAATTCAGTTAAACACGTCCTAAACTACTGTAAATCTTTTTAATGTAATGGACAATGAAGGAAATTATGGCATTCTTGAGGGTCATTTTTAAAAATCGCTTCTGTTGCTTACCACTTTACCAAGCTTACAACTTTTTGAATGAAAGAGGTGACGGTTTCAGTTGTGAACTTCATAAATATTTGGAAAAGCCTTTCACTTTCTCTTCCGCGATAACAAACAATTTGCTACGCCAGCTCTCGAGTTTTCAATCTGTTGAGCCCTCTCGTTTTCAAGTGCCTCCTGCCTATCTCAGTATATTGCTAGTGACCCCCCAGTTTATGTGTGCCCTAACGGAAGTCCCATCAGTCGGGTTGCCTTCGCTGAGTGGCTTTTTTTTTTTTTTTTGTCAGAGCGGGACTTTGACAGGCTTTGCTGCTTTAGAAAGCAGAGATAATGTCAAGTTTTCTTGCATGTTCTATGATGCCAAATCATCGCTCTGGAATGACTATAGATCTATATCTTTTTATGTTCACCTTTAAATAAGAATTATGGCGATTTTAAAAATCAGATGGCTCCTTTCTTCCCTCTGCCCCTTTCACCAGCAAACTGAAATCAAATGAAATGAAGCAGCTTTCCTAAGCTCCCATTCACTCGTTTGCTTTACGGACTCCAAATTTTGCCCTTTAGACGCTGAGGATTTGATTCAGGATCACACAGATCCTACAGGGTAGCGAGATATCAGCTCCTCTCCCAAATCCCTGCTTCCAAGGCAGCGCTTCCAAGCGTTGTGCAATCGCCTCGGAGCCGCAGTTAGCTCCGTGGCGAAGGGGCGGAGGGGAAGGAGCGCGCTGGATTCTGAATTTTGAAGCAGAGGTGTCGTATCGGTCAGGGGGGAGGGGGCCGCAGGACCAGATGCTAGAATCCGCACGAAAACTACAACCGTTTCTTTCCTTCGCTATAGGGAACTCTCCCCCCACCACCACCACCACCTTCATTTCATACTCTATCACGTGTTGGATTTTTTGTTTTTATTTTCCCCTCGCGTAGCCCCAATAAAGCTTGAGTTAGTGATGGAGATTCCGAGAGTGCGTTGGAGGGAAGGAGAGACCCCGGCAGCCCGGTGTCAGCCGGAGGCGAGCCCCCGGCGGCAGTCGTGGCTGGGGCCAGCCGGCCGAGCCAAGCTGGGCCGAGCCGGGCCGAGCCGAACCAGCCGAGCCGAGCGGCGGCGGGTACGAGGGGCCCGACCGCGTCCTCCCCCGGGCACCCGCCGCCCCGGATCCCGCCCCGCAGGGGAACGCGCGAGTCTTTACCTGAGCTGTCGCTTTTCCTTTTGCCAGACCTCTTCTCTGTTTCCACCGGGGACAGAGCTTGCCTGCCATAGTCCCCTGGCGCACACGCTGCCCCCGTGGGAGTGTTGGTGCCCAGGCTGGAAGAGTTCGAACACAGGACAGGGGGGCTGCTGCCCAGCTCCGGGGGTCCTCCTGAGTCGGGCTGAAGGCAGAGGCTGTGCCTGGCCGCGGCAGGAGGAGACGACATCTGAGGAATGTGCCAGTTCGTCTGCAAAGCCTGGTGCTGCTGTTGCTGGTGGTGATGGTGGTGGTGATGGTGATGGTGGTGGTGCCCCCTATGATGCTGGCTGGCAAACATGCCCTCCTCATTGGGGTATCCCGCTATTATGCAAGAGGAAGAAGAAGAAGACAGATCAGGGTAGGACATGTGGTCAGATCTTCCATGCAGGGCAAGAGAAGACTGGGAGAAAGGGTGCAAGCTCTGCGCAGTGGCATGGGGGCTGCGCAGGCAGCCAAAAAGTGTGTGATCCATGGCATGCAAGTCTCAGGTTCCAGGCAGGAGAGTTTAGGAAAGATCCAACTTCACCACCCTTTGTCAACTTTCACTGTAAACAGATCGGGGCTGGGATTTTTTTTTCCAAAACGGCACCGACAGACTCTGCAGCAGGCAGCTGAGCTCAGATAATCCAGGTCTTTAGCCCTAGTGGCCAGTCTCCGCTGCACAAACACTCGGACCTAGATGAGCCGTTCTCAGAGCTGCTCAGATGTCAAGAAGCAGGAGAGGTTGAAGCCAATAGAAGGTGGTCCCAGAGAACTGCTTGAAGGGGGAAACAGCTTCGAGAGGTTATAAATACAGTAGTGTGTAATGTGAGCTGGGGGCTGGCTCAGCAGCACAGCACTGACCACATGCAAACTCCCTCCAAAACGCCAGCGCCGTCCCCGCGCCGAGTCGCTCCGTCAGCGGGGCGGCAGCGCTGCGCGCCCGCGCCCCGGGCACCCGCGGCCGTGCGGGGGGGCGGCTCCGCGGGGGCGCAGCCCGCCCGCCTCTCCCTGCCCCCAGGCGGACCGGGGAGCGCCTCCCGCCGCGGCACCCGCCGGGGCTGCCCCGGAGCCGGCGGGGCCGCCCGCGCACCCCGCCCCGGGCGGGGGGCGGCCGTGTCCCCCCGTCGTGCGGCCCCCGCAGGGCTATCACCGCCCCGTCGGGGCTGACCGGACCGCTCGGGGCGCTGCCGCCCCTCGGGGGCAGCGGGCGGGGGAGCGCAATAAAGACGTGAGGCGAAATACGGAGGGTGACTCTGGGGCGGCCGGCGGGCGTACGGGAACCACCACCGCCCCGTTTCCCTGGGAACTCGAGGGCGCCCGGCAGCGCCTCACCTGAGCGCCCAGGTGCGAGAGCAGCGTGAGGAGCTGAGCGGGCCGAGGCCGGGGCAGAACGCCGCTCCCTTGCGCCCAGCTCCTGGTGCTGGTGCGGGGCATCCTCCCGCTTCGCCCGTGGCCACGGCCCCCGCCCGAGGTGAGCGCGGCGCTGCCCGGGCTGCCCGCATGCACTTTACACTATTCCCTAGCATCGGGGGCTGGTTCTGCAACGAACCCACCGGCGCCCACCGTGCCTGCAAATCTTGTTGCGGAAGGAGAAATTTCCCTTCTTGCCCCCTGCCCCTTCAAAAGAAGAAGTCGCGTAATTTTTATTTCTTGTATCTTCCTTTGCTTCGTTGCGGTCCGTAGTAGATCAGGAGAGACAACCTGGACAGCTTGGGCCTGTCTTTTTTTTTTTTCTTCCTTTTTTTTTTTTTTCGTGTGTGTAGCAGAATTAACTGTAGCCATGAACGCGGCTCATAACTGGTTTAAATCAGGATAACACATTTATTAATCACTGACCAAAGAGGTGCCCACTATGGAAAGGTTTTGTTCTTACCCTTCGAAGTACCTTCCTCCTCCTCCCCTCAAATCAACATTAAAAAAAATAATAAAAAGGAAAACCATTGCATTTCTGCAATTTAAGTGTAAATTCTTGGGTCCATGTGCGAAAGATAAAATGAATTTCAATTGATAGTGGAAAAAAATCAGCAATTGTATGAGATTTGCAAGAGCTAGTTTCTTAAACGGAAATTGAGTCCTATTTTGTGGGAAATTAGTTTTGCAGACTTTCTAAAAAAAAAAAATCTAAAACTTTTGTTCAGCAGCTGCTCTGCTTTTCTCTGCAGTTTCAGACTGAGTTGGAACCTGCAGCAGTCTTTCGACGGTAAGATTTCCCCCCTTTTCTGACATCTAACGCTTTTTAAAAACTGTCTTTAGATTTAACTGTAACAACGCGGTCTTTACAAAGAGAGCAGAGTCCAAAGCAGAAGTTGCTGCCTCTGTGCACCGTTCAAAACTTAATATTTCTTCAGAATAAAGGAAATATACAGTTACAACACTGATGAAATATTTCGTGCTTTTCATTGTGTTTATCGTTTCAATATGTGCTCTAATATTAGAAGAGAGGAGTACAAAGAAATCTCAATGGTTTAACCCCTCTTGGGTTTGGGAACTCGCCGGGCTGGCAGCACAGGGGTGCTGCTGTCCCTCACAAACAAGGAGCTGCCATGAAGCAATAACTGCGAGACAGCGACCGGCGCGGTGCGTCGCGCCCGCAGCGGCCCCGCCAGCGGCGGCCCGAGGGCTGCGGGGGCGGGCGGGCGGCGAGGCCGGGCCGGGCGGCCCCAGGTGGGAGCTCGGGGAGCGGCGGCGCGGCCCCCCCGCACCGCACCGCTGCCCTCCGCGGCTCTCCAACCTGCTGCTGTCCGTCCGTCCGCCCGTCCGTCCGTCCGCCCCGGCCACGGGGGCGAGACCCCGTCGAGGAGGCCGGGAACGGAGGGGCAGGAATGCCAGGACCCCTCCTTCAAGGGCCGCTGCCGCTGAAGCCCTGACACTGCCACAGCTGCGAACGGGTCGGGGAAGTCCCGAACCCAAGCCGGTGTAAAAATGCCTTTTCTTAATTCTGGGGCATGGCCACGCAGGATTTCTCGCACACGATAAAAAAATTGAAATAACTGAAGCACAATGAAGAAAGTGAGAGGGTGCGAGGGGGAGGAAGAAAGATTAGGTTTCCAAGAGAAATAAGAAACAGAGCCAAATAGGACCTTTTAGAGAGAGGTAGGAGAGGCTCCAAAAGGTGAAGAAGAAGAAGAAGAAAAAGAAGACTGCAATAGCAAAGCTATAATGGCACAACTTAGTGTTTGCCATTAGCTTCATAATCAAATCTGAATATTCGGGACTGTGCTTCCCAGGGTTTCTGAGTACCCTAATAAGTTCACAAGTCCTACATCACGTATTCTTATTATTTCTTTAATAAGAGGTTTTAAGCACACAAGAACTGGAAATGCAATTCTCTACAGAGCTTTATGCTTTCATTTTAAACTATAAAAGGAGAATGCAAATATAGGCAACTGAAGTTAAGGCAAATAAGCAGCTTCAAATGCTTACTGAAATGATTCAAAAACTTTCTGTGCAGAGTTATCAAATACCTATGGCTATATGATACCATTCTTTGTAAAAAAATACACTTTTTAGTTAAACCTTCAGTGCAAAGCGTCTCAGTGAAACAATTACTGAAGAAAGTGTAAGCAGTTACAATTACCTCTCAATATTAATGATTGAATTCTTGTTCGTATTGTATTTTTTCAGAACGTGTGTTTGACCTACATGTGGTACAAAAGCATAACTTAAATCAATGCCAGCAAGTTTGCCCAAAGCTTATAAACATCAAGTGAAAAAATAGAATGTTTTAAATATGTGAAAACAGTAAACTGTTTAACTTATAAAAACATCTGGAGCCAACACAGTTTGGAACATTATCTATATTTTCATGTATAGGCTACTATTTGCATTCACTTTGTGTATTTTGCTTTTGGTGGTGGGTTGGTTTTGGGTTTTTTAACTTACAATTTATGTGGAAAGAGATCATATAAAATTGACCTGAAAGAACCAATTTACAATTCCTCCTCTTCAGGACTTTTGTAGTCTTGTTCACTTTTTATGTTGGAGACTGAAAGGATCACCTTCCTGAATATTTATCAGAATGTAAGTAGGATTCTTGATCAATTCTTTCTAGTTCGTGGTTTGCGTATTTGCAGTATGCGTGTTACAGTAAAATCAGATAGTCGTACTTGGGGACCACCATTTGAGTGGTACAAAATCGTCGTAACTTACCTGAAGTCAGTAAAAGGATGGCATTTTACACCATTTAAGAATATTCTTCTTACTTAAGATAAAGCTTACAAATATGAATTCAGTTTATTTTAGCCAAAGTTTTTATTGTACTCAAGAGCCTACCAAAGCAAAAGGACGAGGTTTCATTCTACTGTAAACATGATCAGTTTGTATTTTTCCATGGCAATTTGGTGAAGGCAGGCATCATTTAACCTTAGAGTCAATCCAGATTCACAACAGACGCATGCTTATTTTCAGCCTTTTCTTTTTTTCCATAATTTTTGCCTGTTTAACTCCCTTAGAAGCAATATAATTCGTTGCTCATGATACCTGTGCTGCAATGGAAACCCACAGATAAAAGCAATAATAAAACCTGGGGATTATGCATTATTACAGAGATGCTTGAATGCCTTAACTGAAAATCATTGCACAGAAAATGAATAATTTGTTGACTGAGTAGTCAAAAATACTGAATCCCTGACTAGTGAAAATTGGCAATAATCACATTTAGCATTCATAAACCTATGGTATACCAGTATCTTTACAATACTTCTCCATAAAACCATCATTTTCTGAGAAATTACACTACCACAATGCTTACCACATAATTTTAACATTGCATTTCTGTGGTATACTTCCCATTTCACTCTCTGTAGCGCTTACATGTGCCATGGTTTAACACTTATCAGACACAATTTTTTCTACAACAGATCTATAAAAGCTTTAAGCCTGAATCCATATTTCAGCTACTTCTCCCATATACATATGGCTTCTGTTCTAATTTTCATGATCGCTGAGTATTACAAATCTTAAAGTTATGCCAGCAATTTAGTATATTACAGAAAAGTTGTGCCTAGTTATGAGGCCCTCACTGAAAATGATGTGCAAGTCTGCATTGCATCACTAAAAGTTATTTGAATTGTCAGCCCACTGTAACAAATAAAATGTCTTATGCTTCCTATTTAATTTAATAAACTGATGAAATATTAAAATGGTAAAGTACTTGAGGCTTCACACCTGAACTATGATGTTTCAGGAACGTTTTTTACAATTTGAGCTGGGGGAAACTTGCATTAGGTACTCAAAAGTTCCAGAACAAGTTATATTCAAAACTTTGGGGTGTGTTTGTTTTTAATAGATAATTTATTTACAAACTGAACCATCTTGCACAATACTATTTGTTTCCCAATCTGCATGTTATATTACAATTTAATAATTGTTTTATTCTTTCTAGTATTATCTCCACTTAAAAATACTTGAACTAGCAAACAGTTATGACAAGCTTTGTAGGGCACTTTAATAATGCGTATCTTTAATTTGTATTTAGAAATGCATTCAAAATGCATATGCAGGCAAGTCAATGATGCCTGAAAAATGTTTTCCATTTTGTTGTCTCTAGATCTTGACAATTACACACTACGCTCCGTCCATTATCCTATTAAAATTACTAATCACAGAGGAAAAAAAGGCTTGTATTTTTACATATTAATCTTTTATTATTTGATACAATTCACATTGTGGATTTTGATCTGTATATGCATTGAAAAGACATTTTACCAGAGTCCTCATTAAAAATGCAGATACCGCTGTGCATGGAAGAAAGGCAAAGTGTGTTTTCATCTCTTCATATTTCTAACAACGCTTGCTTCTTACTGTGCTGCAAAGTTAATATTTTGATGATTCTACTTCAAGTCTGAGTCACCCAGAACAAAAAATACAGATGATTGAAAACTTTGTGCATCAAAGATTTACACTATGACTTACCCATTTACTGGGTAAATACACAGTATGCTTACCTTACGAAGGCTGAAATGGAGAAAAAACCTACCACAACCTGAAATATTTATTGCCCCCTGGCTGACGTTTCCAAGTCCTTGCAGGATCAGCAGCAGGGGGCATATTTCATAATTCTGCCTCCATCAGGGGACATTAGGAGAGTGATAAGTCACTAATTTTCGTCATCTCTTTTACAGGTTAATGAGTAAAATACTACTTTTACAGTGTGTATTCATAGTAATTCCTAATTTTCTCTACTCTGGAGGGAGAAAAAGACACATATGCCTATATCTATGCACCAAGAATAAATAATTACAAAATATCTAGGTTTTTATAGCTGCTGGGATTATGTTATTTACTTTGCAGGTGTGTATGCTATGATTTATAGTGTGATGAACTTTAGACTTGGAGCAGAAACCCCTAACTAGCTAGTATTTGGAACAGAAAGATATTCACTGCCCTGCAGAGCTCAGGCTTTATTCATTTCACCAGTTTCACATGGGAGTAATCCTGTGTTTTTACAGAGTCCTTTTTGCGTTCACGGCGATTTTCTTGACTAGAAACGTTTTCAGGATTGCAATCTTAATTAATAATAGCTGTAGGAAAGAAAGAGTTAAAAATTGGATGTACTTTTTAATGCATAACTGCATCATGCACCCCAAAACCTAATATCAGATAATGCTAACAACAGAGAGGAGAAATTAAATGCAAAATAAGAATTGTTTGAAATCATAATTTTAGATTAAATTGAGGGGGGTTTTAGATGCAGATATTTTGGCTTGTGAAAGAATGAGGGGAAAAAAAAAAAGATAGATTTCCCTAAAAAATACATGCCAAGAAGTGCTTAATTTGCAGATAAAGTCTCAAAGATTCTGATTAAGGAAGCTATTTTAAGTTTGCAGGCATCAGTGACACTAAAAAAAAAATAGGTAAGTTCTTAACTGTCATGGAGAAGCATTCGAGTGACATACCTTGAGACTGATAACTTCCAAATCCATGTTTGCATAAACTCATTTTATATTTTATTTCACCAAAACACAATGCAGCTTTACTGATGAGCTGTGAATATATTGTACTACTCCTTGAAAGAAACCTTTCCAGTATATTTTTATTTGTCATGCTTTATTAAGCATCACACTTGCATGTCCTTTGATAAAATGTGATAGGTCTCAGGTTGGGTTCAATAAACTATTCTAGCAAGGGACTATCTTTGAGTCATTTTCACATCATCTAAGTTTACATATTGCATTTTGGTGCACTGAATCACTGCAGCCACTGTCCTCTCTTGTTTAATGTATGTCTCATATATTTCATTTAAATTTGATGCCCACAATAAAAGTGTGAAGACCATTTATTCCTATCCCTTCTCTTTCAAAAAAAGTGTGCCTAGCACTACGGGCTTGGTGAAACTCAGCTGTAAGAAGAGGTGTATTATTTGGAATACTTTTCAGCTGACTGAGACACAAATGCAAAGTACAGCAATGTGGGGACACTGTCTGGTTTTGTGTTATTCCCTCATAGGTAATTTGTCCATGAACTTTATGCATTTGTGCATTTGAGCTGTAGAACATATCACTCAGGGATTTAGATTTTACTTCATAATCCAAGTATATTTTAATACAAGATGGTAAACTAAAAATATTTTCCATCTAACTGTTTCAAAAACGCCATGTGTAAGAGAACACAACAAAATGGAATTAACTCATAACATATGCAACTCTTATTTGTGCAAGAGCAGTATATGCCCCTAAATCCAGACTGCAGCATCTGGAGGCATAGCATGTCTCTAATGGAAGAGAAAGGCACGAGACATGTCAGCTTCTTGGCTATGTTACGCTGAAAGCCGTGTTTTTTCCTTCACGATACCCAATACAACTCTGATTAAAACTAATAAAACAGACACTGTCCAGGTAAACTGCCTTCATAGCATTTTGCGTTTTTCAGCTTGCTAGTTGTAGGCAATGGGTTTAAGCTGAGATAGATTTTTACTATGTAAAAGAAAAAAACCTCTTAAATACTGTTCTTTTGTTTGAAACAATGAAATTCAAATCAAAACTAACATCTCACGGTATGAATTGTGTTCATAGTGCATCCAAACCTACGCATTCCCATTTTTGAAACCCCTTTTTGCTGTTACCAAGATAACTTGTAGTACCATTTTTTCGTCCTAGTAGTATTACAAATAATGTATTTTTCATATACTTTTACTACTGTGATCAGCTTGCTAGAGAAAAACATTTTAGAGAAACAACGCACTCTAACTGTTTTACAACAAGAACTGTCTTCATACTTGACCTTGAGAAGTGCTGAGTCTTTTCTTTTCCCCAATGACCTTACAGGATCAACTTCATTGTTAGACTGCAGTAGCAATTTTTAAAAGTGCAGCTAAACGTAAATACTGTTCCCTGTGATTACGAAAAAAAAAACCCAACACCAACACACTGAAAATTGCATTTTGAACCAAACCTGGTGGATAAAATATTTTACTAATGCATTTTCAATTTTTTATTGCACTAAAATTGTTAAATGATCTGCTATAGAAGTTGAGATGTCTAATTTTAAATTCTCTTTCATTCTTTCTTTTATCAGCTAATCTCCTCTATTATATCCATAGGAAAAAAGGGACAAAGTATGCCTGTCTCCTGTATTTATTCTTCTTTGCAGAAAATACAAGTGGAAACTGAGAAACTGCATTGTTACTAAGATACTAAACTTGAAAATCCCATCATGAACTGCATACTGGATGTATAAATACACATATGTGTACGCTAAAAGAGGGTGTTCAGCCGTGCAGAAATACAAGTTTACCTCCAGGCTCAAACCTTTAATGTACAATTAAAACAAATTGGGTTAGTGCCCGCTTTTCTTTAATAACAGGGAGAGTTCTTAGACGAATTATACTAAAATAGAAGTCTCACATTAAATCAAATGAAGGAGCAGAAAAAGCTCCTTGCACAGATTACCAGACAAAGTTCTGACTTTGCTTCCTAGCAGAGTAAAATGTTTGGGAATGTATCTAATCTAACACACCCTATAAAACTGTGCAGTAGTCCCTGGTATAACAGTGAGCTGTATGGAAGACAGAGTCACATCTC